GGGGCCAGGCATTGATGGTGGAAGTAGCAGAACGCCACAGCGTGGCAGCCAGCAGGACTTCGACACCAGTGGGGATGGCGCAGCCCGCCCAGTTCGTCATGCCGAGGATGTCGAGCTTGGTGAATGCTGAAGGAGCAGATCTGATAACTTTGTGAAGAGCATGAATTTCTTTGGCAAGAACGAGTTCTGGAGCAGGAAATAGTTGTCCTACGTAAGTGAGGCAAGTGATCGCGGAGGAGTTGTACAGCGAAACGTTCAGCTGGATGGCAGCGGAGGCGTCGCCCAAAATCTGGGTACGATGGTACCACTTGGCCGCGGGGGCGGCCCATTGAGCTCGATCATCCGCACAGGGACCGATGTAGACTCCGAGGTACTTTGCCTTGCCGTCGATCTTGAACTGGGACCAGGCGGGGTTGATCGTTCTAAGCGTGTCGCGCATGGCGCCGTCATTCTCTTCGTAGCCGTTGGTCCAAACAGGGACGAGCACGCACTTCCGAGGTTGGAGCATCAAACCTGCGAAGGATTGGGCCGCTTCGGTGTGCGGAAGGATGCCTTGCATGTCACGCAAGTGTGCTAAGACGCAACCAATATCATCAGCACAAGCACTGGCCATGCCACGGCCAATCTGGCGAAAGTGGCGTTGAATTCCATGTAGGATGGGGTCGAACACCAGGGCCCAGATGGTGCCACTGAGCGGGCAGCCCTGGGCTACTCCGCTGGATGCAACGAGAAGTGGTCGACGCGTGCCTCCCAGCTCGAGGAAGGCGATGGGCGAGGCGTAGAAGGACTGGAGGAGGCGACGGACGCGTCCAACAATCCCCCATCTGCGAATCACTTCCCATAACCAGGCGTGAAGCAAGCTTGGGAAGGCGGCCGCGATGTCCATGCTGAGGAAGCACGGCATGTGCTCGGTGGCGTTGACCATGGTGCTTTAGATGCGGCTGTACGTGTCAGCTTCGACTATGTTGTTGAGGAACTGGCGGCCAGGTACGAAGCCTCGTTGGATATTCGACACTTGCTTGACTATCGGATGTAGCTTGCGGTTGATGGCGGAGGCGGCAATCTTTACGTCGGTGTTCTTCATCGCGAGAGGGCGGAGTTGGTCTGGCGACCGAAAGCATTCTGCATGACCAGCAGGCGCGTCACCTTTTGGTAGCATGGCTAGTAGAGCGTGGTTCCAATCGTGCGGGATGATGTTGTTGGCCGAGATGTTAGCCACGAGTTCTTCCAAGATCTCGAAGCTGTTGGGAGTGGAAGTCCAAGCTTTGCAAGGAAGGCCATCTGGACCTGCGGCGGAGTCATGTGCTCGTTTTGCTGCTTCTTGAAGCTCTTCGGCGTTGGGGAGTTCCAGCGCAACAGGGTCACGCTGGGGGAAGACGGTATCCAGGTAGGCGTTCATGTTGGCAATGTTTACTGGCTTGTCTGCGAAGATCGGGCCCCAGTGCGCAAGTATGGCGTCGTGCATGTCCGATGGCGTCTCGGCGATGATGGAGGAGTCGCCTTGCGAGATTCGGATGCCAGCGAGCACCAGACGCTTGGAGAATGGTTCCCAAAGCTCCCCCAGTCTGCGTGTGGCACTGGCGCGTTTCCGCCACCTGTCTCCTTGTTGACGCCGTAGACGTTGGTAAGCGTCCCGGGCACGTGCGGCGGCGAGAGCGCGACGTTCTTCAGCGACTGCAGCGTGAACTTCAGCAGCGGCATCGGCAAATGCGTTGGCGTTGCTCAGGCAAACCTTACTTGAGGTGATGTCGGAGGAGTTGTCAATGATGATCTGAAGGTGCTTGGAGCCCAGGTGGGTGGTGTCGATGAGGAGGCGCGCCAGCTTGATGTCCTGGAACCAGACCGCGCGGGAGATGCTTCTCATGGTCATCGAGTTGACTTCCTTGGAAATCGATAGGTGGTCGCGTGCCAGGACTTCAGGCGGTAGTCGCGCAAGAGCATCTCGTGTGGCCTTCGCGGCGTTCGTCATGTTGGCTTTCAGCGTGCGCCACTTGATGATGGGCGTGAGCGTGTCGTATTCGGCGTCGGCGGTGAGCTTGTCGATGAAGAACTTGTAGAAATCAGAGTTGAAGAGGAAGGCGGGGATGCCTCGTTCAGAATGGGGCCGTTGGACTCGGGGGCGAAAACGGACATGAAGGAGTTCATGGTCACTGGCGGGAGCCCCTTTTCGTTCGAGAGGTGAGTCGTCGGCCACCATGATCGTCTCAATGTGGGTAAGATTATGTGCTTGGAAGGAGGTGAAGAAGCGGTCAATGCTTGACTCGGTGTTGTTCGCGTAGCAACGGTGGGTGGTGGACGGAGTGCAGATCTCGACCAGCGGTCGGAAGAGCTGCTTCCAGAATGTGGGCTGGAACTGGTATCGTTCGTGAGCAGGCACTTCGACAGGACGTGGTAGACTGCGAGCAGGTAGTTCAGAGATGTTGAAATCGCCGAGCATGAAGAACATAACGTGTTCAGGGTCGCTGATTGCTTCGCATAGTGCCACTTGCCACGTGGCCTTGATCCGTCTTCGGTCGTCAGCAGTGAGATCATGGTTATGAATGTTGAGGTAGATATGGAGGTACTTCAGGCTGGGGTCGCGGATACGCAGTTCGGCGACACGACCAGGGATGACCGCGGAGAAGTTGATCATCGGCATGGCGTCGCCCTGGTCGTCGTAGGGGAGACTTTGGGATGAGGAAGGCGACGCCGCCCGCCGCATTGGAGTCGGGGATGCCACTGTGGTAGACGTCGTATTTGGCGCCCGTGGAGTTGATGAGGCTGTGAATCATCTGCGATGTGCCGTGGGTCTCCTGAATGGCGATGAGGGAGTGCTTGGCGAGGTAGGGCTTGAGGATGGAGAGTTTGGCGTCTCGCTTGACGATGTTCGAATGCACCAGTGCCTGGGCATTCCAGCTGACCACTGAGCATTCAGTCAACGATGAAGTGGTAGTCGCGCTCCAAGGGGTCCATTTGCTGTTAAATCCACGACACTGATGTGGTTGCATCCGCAAAGGCAGCGGCAAGGGCGTCGGCACATGAAGTACGCATCGCGGATGTAAGGCCAACACCTTCAGCAGCGTCAGACCATTGAATCTGGGTTGCCATCTCAGGGCGGGAGCCCACCTGGATGCGGACGATGGGCACATTGTCGATGGAGAAGTAGCCGTCGGTGCGGTGGATCTTGGGGTTGAGGTCCTGCTTGGCATTGTTGCTGATCCTTGCCAGCTTCTTGAGCTGGATCTCCTGCCTGACGAGCTTGGGGCTCTTGTCCGCGCTGACGTAGCATGGAGCGCCGCCGATTGAGAAAGTACGCCATTCACGACCAATGCGAAGGTGATGATGGAGCGCTTGGGCACGTGGTACTGCGACGGCATCTGCTCCGAGTACAGTGATGGAGACCCGCTTGGCAGGAGCGGAGTTGTTGTAGCGAACCATAGACACGTCGATGTTGGCCGCCGAGAACCATTCGGTGATGGCAGACTTGAGAGAAGCTTGTGTGATGTCCACAGTGGATGCAATCCAGAAGGTGCCGATGTGTGGGGCCCTGTCCCACGAACCAATGTTGTTGACGTCGAGCGAAGGAACTTGGGCTTCAGCCTGTGCAATGGCAGTTTTGATCTTGTCCACCGCGTCGTTGAGGTTCTTGGACTCCACTTCGGAAGCGGAGACGCGTTGCTTGAGGGAGACGATGTCGTTCTCGACGTGGTCTTGGCGCTCGGTGAGCTTGGCCGTGATGTTGGTGATGTGCGTGATGAAGCTGGCTTGAGACGAGGCGGCGACTTTCTCTGCGGTGGCCTTGAACTGTTCGGCTGCATCAGCGACTTGAATGGCCAGGTGCTTCTCGATCTCGGAGCGGAATAGTTCAAGTCTTTCCTTTTGTGCAGCGTCTTGCCATGGATCTTTGTTGTTCCGAGGACTCCGTTCGCGTCGATCACGTATGGTGGCAAGGTCGCACGTCTCAGGCATGTTGAGAGCACACCGCAGATCGCTGAGTCTGACTTCTCGACCTTCAGTATGGAGGTGGCCGCGGCACCACAGGCAGACAATCCCGCGTGGATATGTAAAAGGAGCAGAAAAAAGACACTCCTGAGCTGGCCCTGGAACAAGGGTATGCCATGAAAGCCTCTTGGCGCTATGCCAAGCAACATTGGGACCTTGAGCCAAAATGGCTACGGAGGAGGAGGAGGAGGAGGAGGAGGAGTAGGACGGGGACGAGGAGGAGGTGGAGGAAGAGAAAGGGTGAGGGGAGGAGGAGGAAGAGAGAAAAGAAAGAGAAGGGACGCCTAGAACCCTCTAGAGCGCCCTGGCCCTGGACCCCCCTGGGATGCCGTTCCGTCTCCGCGGGCATTCGGACTTCAAACATATCCCGACCCCTGGCAAGTCAGCACCGTGGTTCAGCGAGCCCGCAGCCAGTCGCGATGCCAAGTTCACAGGGAGGGCGCGTCGTAGGAATCACGCGAGGCGGCACTCCTCTCCGTGTTGCGGTCGCCCGTGGTGAGCGCCTGCGCTCCATGTCTATGGCTCTCCCATCGTAGATATCATGCTGATCATCGGAACTACAGTGGGGGCGTTGGATTAAGGAACGCTAAATAAGGAACGAGGCCCCTTTTTTCCATCAGTTGAAGTTCTATTCCCCATCGAAAACCTCAGGAAAGCATACGGCAAGCTGTGGAACAATCAAGGAACACGGAGCCCCTCCCCAACGAAAAGGGTTCCTTCTTCAGGGCCCCGACTGTATGCGTCAGGCTTTCGTTGAATCGAAGCGAGCACAAGCGCCTCGAACAGAGCAGCATGCTTCTTTAATTGGGCGGAGGGTCCAACCTCACAGGTCTCAAGGCTCAACTGCCTCACAGGGAACGCTGGGGTAGCCCGAAAAGCACTGTCTGTCCGACATGGTGCGCCGAGTGTTGTCATCTCAGATGCGTCCAGTTGGGACCTCGGGAACGAGCTGCCTGACAAAACCTGAAGCTGCGACTAGACAGGCTGGAGCAGAGAGAAGGGGACGGTGGCTGGTGGAATCCCCCCACGCACGACGATCACTTGCTCGTCCACGAAAAGGCTCCTCGGCATGCGAACGCATCACCCCATGCACTACCCCCGTACGGTAGGTTCGTGCGTCCTCGGCACGCGCCAAGGTTTTCGACACTGCGTCGATCGGTGAACCTTGAATCGATCGCGGCCCCGACCGTTCGAGATCGAATTCCGTCGGGTCCAGTGGCGTCGCCATGTCCCTCGGCGCTTCCGCGTCGCAGAACTCCACCTAGAACGCCTACGCTGGCGTCGCCGGCACGCCCACTCCGAGCACGCCTCGCCCTCACGGGCCCTCGACGGGCGCGCGCCGACCGCCCCGGGCACTCGCCCTCGGAGACGGGCCGCCGGCTCTGCCGCGCAGCCTCACGAGGTAGACGGCGCAAGGGCGATGACCTGGTCCGTCTTGACCAGCCGCGTGGCGAAAGCCTGCGGCGCGGTGTACACGAAGTGGTGGGTGGGCTTGGTCTCGTCCACCGGCTTGCCCGTGGCGTCTGCCTCTGCAGCGGTGGCGCTGCGGTACAGCCCGAGGGCGAGGATGTTGCGGTCGCTCAGGAGCCAGAAGCAGAACTCGCCGTACGTCCTCTGGGTGAACCCAAACGGGACGTGCAGGACCATCATCGGCGCACGCATCAGGGCGTCGACCATCACCAGGATAGAGGGGTTATACAGCGTACTCGCCATCAGGCTTGTCACGAAGGACGATGTGAACGCCTGGCCGCGCATGTAGCGCGGGTGATACGTGAAGTCGGAGGAGACCAGTTCCTCGAAGTCCTCTGGGCACCGAGGAGGGCGCAGGGCGACGCTGTCGTCGGGAGGGATCCCCTTCGTGGCGCTCAGTGCACCCTTGATGGAGTCGAGCACATCTCCGCCGAAGTAAGGGTTTACCGTCTCGTGAGGGGGCCGCTCGATGGGCACCTTCGTTGCGGGGAGGAAGTCCATGCTGCCCTTAAACGCGTGGTCCGTGACGACGACGCACTGCGAGCCCGTGGGCAGGTTGCCCTCTATGAGGCTGCAGGCCAGAATCACCCTCGCGTCGGAGACCTTCCCCGTGGTGCCCCCCATCATGTCGTGCGCCCGCACCACGGCGATGGCGCTGGCCGTCTGGAAGGCGGCGCGGTGCAGGTCGTCGAGGCTGAGCGCCGAGCCGCGGATGTGGTAGACGCCGGCCAGCTCCTGGTCGGCTGCACGCAAGAGCGACCCCGGGCAGCGGTGACCTTTGGCGCGCGGCTTCTCTCGGGCCTTGGCGAAAGGGGGGACAGCAAAGGGGGGGTTTGAGAATCAGCTCACGCAGCTGATTTTCCCGGCGCCCTCCGGCGCCGGGAGGCGCCCATATGTATCGAGGAATGGGCCCGGCAGCGGGGCCGAAACCGGCTGCATGCAGCCGATGTCGTCACCCCCCCGTTCCCTATCCCCCCTTTCGTTCGGCCCGATTCTCCAGGGCCGCGGGGGGGCCCAGCACGAGCGTACGTGAGACGCCACGATCCCGCCGCACCCCCGGCGATCCCGGGGGGGCCCGGCGGGCGCGCACCAGAGGCCACGCCGGCGAAGGGTCCCTCTTGCGTGCAAGTCGGGCGCGTCCCCCGACAGGCGGATCTCGGACGAAAGGCAAGGCATAGCCAGAAAATAACCAAACATAGTCCAAAAATGATCCAAAAATCGTCCCCAGACTACTGCTTGACTCTTTCTGTGAACATTCCCCCCGTAGAGGGGCACGCCCGACTCCAGCTTGCGTGCAGTCGGCCTGGAGGCGGTACCAGTCGCCGGGCAGCTCCTCGGAGAGGATGACGAGCGCCCGGTGGGGCTGCACGCCCGCGGTGGCGTGCAGCGGCGCCAGGAAGCGGTACAGCCTGGCGGGCGGGCGGCCGGGCGGCCGAGGGCCGGGAGGGGCGAAGGACGAGACCCAAAGCTCCCACGCATTGGCAACAAGTTCAGGACGGAGGCTGGTCGCAAGCTTCGGCCTCTATATAGCAGGGGCCCTCGCCGGGCCCCGGGATCGTCAGACACGACTCAGGATGAGAAACCGGCCCCGGGGAGTGGGTCGAGACTTCCAGGGACCCCGCCTTGAAAAAGCCACGGCGTCGGAGGGGGGCGCAGGGTGGCCAAAGCCAAGCGCGCGAGCAGCCCTCCTCGCGCCGCGCTCCACGGTCAGGGGGGGCACCCCTGCGAGCCCGCACCAAAGGCCGCTCCGGCGAGGGGCCACTCCTCCAGGACCCCGGACGTCGTGATTTCTTCGCAACGTCGACCCCCAGAGGTCTGGACCCCTCCCCCGGGTCGGGGGTGGCCAAGAGGGGGGCGCCCAAGAGGGGGAGGCGCAGATCACGGCCGGCGGCATGTGCGCGGCCCGAGGGGGGGCCAGGGGCGTAATGAAGTAAGAAGAGGCGCCATGAACTCTGGGGAGATGTCATGGCCCACGCCACGATATCCACACACCCCTAGTCATCACACCCCTCTGTGCCGCCCCCGACCAGGGCCCGCTTGTCGTCCAGGGCCGTGCCTGGACAGTCCCGAGGCCCTGGAAGGGCCCCGGGAGGCCGGAAGACAGCGAGAGGCCTCCCGCCGCAGTTTTTTCACAGCGCGAACCCAGAGATCCGATGTCGTGATTTTTTAGGGGGCCACATGCGAACCCTACCCCTACCCCCCACGATTTCTGAGTGGGAGGGTGGGGTTCACTCCGTTTGGGAGCTCCCGAGCGAAGTGAACCCCACCCTCCCCCTCAGAAATCGTGGGGGGGTAGGGGAGGGGGAGGGTTTGCATGTGGCCCCATATTTTTTCAATACGGGGTCCCCGGAAGTCTCGACCCATTCCCCAGGACCAGCATTTCCTCCTTGGTAAGGGCCCCTCGAGGCCGAAAAATACGAAAAGCCTCCGTCTTGATTTTTGAATACGTTGGATCTTCGGCAGTGGACAAACCTCCCTTTAGTAAACCTCCCCTCAGTGAACACGGCCTGGGACCGACACCGACGGACCCGGACCCGCAAAAACGACGGCCGCGACGCCCTCTCGCGAACCGAAAACGGCCAACTCCTTCATCGGCGCGTCAGGATAGGAGGTCTGTCCACCTCCGAGATCTCTGGGCAGGGGTCCAGGTTTGGGGCCCGGGCTTCTGCAAGGGCTCCCAACGTCGCGCCCTCGCGCCGCCTCCCAGGGGAGATAAGGGGAGGACGAGGAGGGGTCGGAGCCGAACCGCGAAGCGCGAAGCGCAAACAGCCTGGCGCCCTCGATGGGCGCCCCTGCATTTTTGCGTGCAGGCCTCGGGGCGAGAAGAGGCTGCCGCCCCGGCCCCCCTCCGCCCGCCCCCCTGCTGGCCTCCGGCCGCCCCCCGGGTTGGGGGGGGGGGGGTCCGCGCGGCGCGCGCGGCGCGCGCGCGCGGGCGGCCCCCGCCCCTGCGGGGGGGCAGGGGCTCGAGGATCGAGGGGGGATCAGGGTCGAGGAGGGGGGTCGAGGAGCGAGGAGGATCGAGGGTCGAGGATCGAGGGGGGTCGAGGATCGAGGGGGATCGAGGGTCGAGGAGGGGGGGGTCGAGGATCGAGGGGGATCGAGGGTCGAGGAGGGGGGTCGAGGAGCGAGGAGGGTCGAGGGTCGAGGAGGGGGGGGGGTCGAGGATCGGGGGTGGGTCGGGGAGGATCGAGGAGCATCGAGGAGGAGGGTCGAGGAGGAGGATCGGGGAGCGAAGGGGGCGGGGGCAGCAGAGGGGGTGTCCGCGAAGCAGCTGCACGGCAAGGCTCGGGGAGTCGGGGAGTCGGGAATCATTCGGCGGCGAGCCCACGGGGGGAAGGCGAGAGAGGGGGCGGGCCTCCTCGGAAGACTGGGGAAGTCGGGGGGAGCAAAAATGACTACCTACCAAACCACCCCAACCTAACCCGAAGACCCGAATTTGACCCGACTTTCGGGCTGGGGGGGGTACGGGCCCCATGTGACTCTTCAACGTTCACCGACCCCCCCCCACTGGAAATGGAGGGCAGATTGATGCCTTCGGGTTGGGTTGGCGTGGTTTTGGTAGGTGGTGAAAAAATCCTCTCTCTCTCTCTCTCTCTCTCACACACACAAACACAGAAGCGGTGCCCAAAGAGAGCGCCAGGCTCGAGCAGCACGACAGCGGCGCACGAGCTCCGGGGACACAGAAGAAGCCGGCCTCGCGGGGCGCTTCCTCTGGGCGCGCCGGCGCACGCCAAACACGAAGGTGCCGCGAGCCCCGGCCCGCCAGCACGAGCAGAAGCCGACGAGGGCTCGGGAAATCAGGAAATTCGGCGGCGAGCCTTTTGAATGTTTGACTATTGTTGGCTATGTTTTACAATTTGTCGTCTATTTTCTGACTAATTTTGGACTTTCCCCCTGTAGGGGGACCGGCCCGACTTAACCCATGGGGGAAGAGAGAGGGGGCGGGCCTTCTCAGAAGGCTCTCGGAAGGCCTCGGAGCTTCTGAGAGAGGCTCGGTGAGCCTTCTCTCAAGACACGAGCAGAAGCCGACGAGGGCTCCGGAAATCAGGAAATCAGGGCATTCGGCGGCGAGCCCAGGGGTTAAGTCGGGCGTGTCCCCCTACAGGCGGATTTTGGGCGAAAGATTGAGAATACTCAAGAAATACCCTCCCAATGGGCAAAAATACTCGAAATATCGATCCCAGGCTATTTATTGACTATGTTTGAAGTTTCCCCCTGTAGGGGGACAGCCCCGACTTAACCCAGGGGGGAAGAGAGAGAGGGGGCGGGCCTTCTCAGAAGGCTCTCGGAAGGCCTCGGAGCTTCTGAGAGAGGCTCGGTGAGCCTTCCCCGAAGACACCGCTGGCTTCTCAGGAGGCCGGAGGGCTTCTGAGAAGCCCCGCCGCCTTCTGAGAAAGCTTGGAGTCAAAAAATAGTCCAAAAATAGTCTGGGGACTACTGTTTGAATATGTGTTGACCTTTTTGGGGCATTTTTGGGGTGCATTTTTTTTGTTCGTCGAAAGGCCCCCTGTAGGGGGACAGGCCCGACTGAAGGGTCTCGCCGAGGGCGCCCACGAGGCTGGACTGCAGCGCGGTCGCGGGCCAACCCGGACGACGGCCTCTCCACGGGCAGGGGGCCCAGGACGAGCAGCGCCTCGCAGCTGGCCACGCCGTGGGCAGGGATTGGGGCGAAGCACGTCCTCCTCCTCCTCCCTCCCTCCCTCCCTCCTCCTCCTCCTCCCTCCCTCCTCCTCCTCCTCCACCTCCTCCTCCTCCTCCTCCTCTTCCTCCTCCTCCTCCTACTCCTCTTCCTCCTCCTCCTCCTCCCGCCGCCCCCCCCCCCCCTCCTCCTCCTCATCATCATCATCATCCTCCTCCTGCTCCTCCTCCTTCTCCTCCTCTTTTTTTTTGTTTCCTTCATCGTATTCTCCTCCTCCTCCCTCCCTCCCTCCTGCTCCTCCTCCTCCACCACCTCCTCCTCCTCTGGTTCCGTCTGGTTTGCGACCGAGCGGTGGACAGTCGAGCTGGAGGCGATCTCGACCAGATCCTGAATGCGTTCTCTTCAACATGTAAGTCAGCAAGGATATCTGAGGTGCGCCTGGAGGCCCTTGTCCGTCGCAGGGCGCCGGCTGCGCGGAGGACCCTGGGAGACAAGCGAGCGGCCGATGCAGGTGAAGATCTTGGATTCGGGAGCTGCCATTGCTCGGGCACCTCCGTAGTCCCAGACATCCTTGACTGCGGCGCGGTCGGCGTCGGTCGGGCCAAAGTTGCGCGCGTTGATGATGGCGGTCTCGAAGCGACTGTCGGCAGATTGCGCAGTGAGGCGCGCAACACGCCCATGGACCACAGCACGACAGACACGGGCGGCCGTTCAGCGATAGGAAGATCATCTTCGCGGGGATCGCGAAGAACGAGGAAGCCGACACCGCCCGATGGTGATGTCGGGAATATTTGAGCGGTGGGCCGTTTAGTGGTAGGGGGACGAGGCGATCAAAAAGTCGAGGCCGTGGATGTCTTCGTGGAGGAGGAGGAGGAGGAGGAGGAGGAGGAGGAGGAGGAGGAGGAGAGGAGGAGGAGGAGGAGGAGGAGGAAGGAGGATGGAGGATGGAGGATGGAGGATGGAGGAGGGAGGAGGAGGAGGAGGAGGAGGAGGAGGAGGAAGAGTAGGAGGAGGAGGAGGAGGGAGGAGGAGGAGGAGGAGGAGGAGGAGGAGGAAGAGTAGGAGGAGGAGGAGGAGGTGGAGCTGCCACCGGTGCCCTCTGCCAAAAAAAAGGGAGCAGAGCCCGTCGCGTGGCGTGGCCCGCGTGCCGCGGGGCGCCCTCTGCGCGCTCTCCAGCGCGCGCCGCGCGGAGCCCCTCTTCGGCAGGGCCCCGCCGCCACGGAGGCCCACCTCGTGCCAAGACAGCTCCGGAGCGACGACAGCTACACCCTGCGAAATGCTTTAGAAACCATGGGTTAAGAAATTCAGAGTCTCAGAACTGGAATAAAAACCCAGAACTTCTATCAAAATCTTGGGATTTACATTGACAAGTTAAGAATAATCAAGACTCTGGCCGAAAACTTAGGTTTTCTTAAGCATCGCCTAAGGTGTACGACCTGCGACATGGATCGGGTGATCGGTGCGGGCGCGAACGCAGCCCCTTCTGAGAACGGCTCCACCCACTCCGACCCCCAGCCAGGAGACCCACCCCCCTCCCGACCTGGCGATTCGGGGGGCCCCGGCTTGGAGTGGAGGTGTTTCTTGGCCCCCCGAGAATAGAGGCCTCCTAGATGGGGTCCGAGTAGATGATGTGGTCGGAGGATCGCGCCAGATCGCCGATGCATCGGCGATTCATTGGCGCTGTATCGGCGATGCATCGGCGATGCACCGGCGACGCATCGTCAATGTCGGCGATGCATCGTCGACGTTGGTGTGAAGCAAGTCGGGCTCCACATCGAGCCGCATCGGGGATGCTACGGCGATGCGGCGCGAGCCTCCGACCCCATCTAGGAGGCCTAGAAAGACCCACTACACGACCTCCATGGGTTTGCTGGAGACGTCGAGGGACTCCACCCTTTGCCTTTTCACTACCGCGCTGACGCCACAAGTAAGAGCAGCGTCGCTCCACTGCGTGCGCGATGGCTCCTCTGGGATCGCACCGGCGAAGAGCCTGACCACCGCGAGGCCGGCGAGGCAGATGTAGCTTTCAGTGCGATTCAGCTTCCAATTTTTGGTAACGCGCTCGTTGAGGGTGCGGAACACGCGCTTGAGCTGGACCTCCTGGCGGACCATATTTGGTGACTTGTCGGCGCTGGTGATCATGGTTACTGGTTCGCTGGAGCATCCAACAACAGAGCAGGTGCAGTACTTGTTGCGGATGTTGCGGGCCTTGCGCAAGGCTTCAGCAATAGGGCGAGCCACCAAATCGCACCCAAGAGTAGTGAACGAAAGCCTCTTCGCTGGGGTGTAGGCTATGATGCCGATGCAGGGGAGCGAATAACCAGCCACGGTAAGACACTTGGAGATACCGCCGGCGACGGCCTTGAGAGCAACCTGTTCCCCGGAGCCAGCCCAGAACATGCCGAAGTGTGGGGTCCTGTCCCCGCTTTCGATGGTGGCGAGATCGACCTTGGGATGAGCAGTTTGCGCTTTGCAGATGATCGCATCGAGCTTTGGACAAAGGCCTTGGGCTCTCTGTGCACGTCCGCCGTCAAGTACCCGTTGCTGAACTGACATGAGGTCGCGTTCGCTGACGTCCCGGCGCGCAGAGGTCTCTGCACCGATCTTCGAGGCTGGCTCAAGGAGGGAGCTGCGCGCCTGGTCGGCGACCTGCTTCGACGTGGCCTCGAACTTGTCCGCGGCGACCCTGATCTGCTGCAGCATTGCCTCCTCGAGCTCTTCTTGAATGTGCGCAGGTACACGTCGTTCATTGCCAATCCTGCTCATTTCTAAGTGTGCTCGTTTCTAATTGCTCCTGGAACCCTGGTGGCCAGGAAGAGGCCCAGGATGGAACGATTAGAAATGAAAGGGTCTTGGCCCCCCAAAAAATCAAAGAACTCTCGAAGAATTAGAACTGAACAGTGTGTATCTGAACAGCTCCATACTTACGACGTGGTTGCGCGGGTGCTGCATCTGCCCATGGAGATCTCCACGTCTCTCGTCACCAGCGGCAGCGCCACGAGGCGGTTGACGTGACACACGCGGCCGCAGGAACTGGGCATGCCACAGCTTGTCTGCAGCCGTGTGTGCAGCGACGAAGGCCGTCGACCATAGGAAAAAGAATATGGAGATGGCTGGGGGGGCGTGAATGGTTGGAAGCTGGCCGCGGGCTAGCGGTGTCCGTGTTCTGCCTCTTGCAGGAAACGTTTTGAGCCAAAATAGCTACAGAAGGGGGCGGAGGAGGAGGAGGAGGGGGAGGAGGAGGAGGCGGAGGCGGAGGACAGAAAGGAGAAGGAGGGTGTAGGAAGAAAGGAAAGAGGCAGAGGAGGAGAAAGAGGAGAAGGGCGGCAAAATTGACCGAATCTCCCCGACAGCCTAGGGCCAAGACTGGGCCTCGTGTTGCGGCCGATGACGGAGCCCGCGAGCTCCGAGCTGTCCGTGGTGTCGCCTTCGCAGCCAGCAATGGGAATGGCCCAAACGAGGGGGGGGCAGCATTGTAAGATTCCACCTCCACGTCCGCCTTCTCCTCCTGTTCCTTCTCCTCCTCCTCCTCCTCCTCCTCCTCCTCCTCCTCCTCATCCTCATCCACACCCTCCTCCTCCTGCTCCTCCGCATCCTCATCATCATCATCAGCAGCATCATCATCAGCAGCATCATCAGCATCATCACCCTAATCAGTATCACCGTCATCATCAGCATCAGCATCATCACCACCACCACCACCATCACCATCATCATCGGCATCAGCAGCATATAATCATCAGCAGAAGCATCATCACCATCAGCATCATCATCCTCAGCACCATCAGCATCGTCATCCTCGTCGTCATCCTCATCATCATCAGCATCATCATCATCATCGTCATCATCGTCATCACCATCATTATCATCCATCGTTGCCTACGCATCCTCCTCCTCCTCCTCGTCCTCCTCCTCCTGTTGCTCCCCTTGTCTCATCCTGCTCCTCCTCATCATTATCCTCCTCCCTCTCCTCCTCCTCCTCTTCCTCTCCCCTTCCTCCTCCTCTCCTCCTCCTCCTCCTCCTCCTCCTCCTCCTCCTCCTCCTCTCTCTCCCCCTCCTCCTCCTCCTCCTCTCCCTCCTCCTCCTCCTCCTCCTCCTCCTCCTCCTCCTCCTCCTCCTCCTCCTCCTCCTCCTCCTCCTCCTCCTCCTCCTCCTCCTATTCCTCTTCCTTTTCCAGGCAGGCTGCGGGGGTCCGCCTGAAGCCGCGACATCCTGCCCCTGGCGCTCGACGAGAAAGCAAGCACCTGACGCAGGAGAAGAGCTGGGCACCGCTTGCGAGCGACGCCCTCGAGAGGAAGGGGCCCAGCTCAAGGCTGGAACGACTCGGAGAGGCGGCGCTGGCGGGAGGGAGACAGCCACGCGACACGGACGCGAGCGCGGAGACGCTGGCCGAGGACGCTGGAGGGAGACGGGGAGAGCGCGGGTGCTGCCAGAGCGGATCGACCTGGCCCTGTGTCGGTCCGCGGGGTAGAGGGGAGCGGTGGCCCACGGGCCGCGTCGCTCCCGCCAGACGACGGGTCTGAGGAGAAATCTCTGGAAAGAACTCCTCCTCTCCTCCTCCTCCTCCTCCTCCTCCTCCTCCTCCTCCTCCTCCTCCTCGTCCTCCTCCCCCCTTCTCCTGCTCCTCCTCCTCCTCCTCCTCCTTCTCCTCCTCCACTCGTGCTCCGTATGAATAGTTTCCCCCTGTCGCACCCCGAGGCCGGTTGTGAGGGCGGGACAGGCGTTTCGCCTGAGACCCCTGCATCATGTACGGCCCTGAAGCTTAAAGATTGGCAACATCTTCACGGATGAAGGGCGGGTCGCTTTCAAAATGTGGCTCTCGCCATAGCGCCGCGCACATTCGTTTCAAACATGTGTAAATGTTTCACGGATCGAAAGTGAATGGTTTTCAACATGTGGCTCTCGCCTTCGAGCCGCGCACATTCGTTGTACCAATGCGCAAGAGCTTCACGGGATGAGGGCGGCTCCTTTTCAAAATGTGGCTCGCGCCTTCGCGCCGAACACTCTCGATTTTAACTTTGTAAGAGTTTCACGGGTTTCCGTGATCAGCGTACCAGGAACGGCGTTCTGGAAGGATTCAGGATCATGAGGGTGCAACAGTTACGTTGATTCGCGGTGCTGAAGTCCCAGAAATGGCGTTCTGGCACGGTTCCGGATCGTCAAGACGCAACAGTCAGGTTGATCCGTGGCGTTGGAATCCCGACAACAATGCTTTGGCATGTGTCAGAATCTTCAAACAATCATCTTCGGACGAGGCGGTTCCCTCAGTGAAAAGGGCCCGTGGTGGGGGCCTATGAAGAAGAGCTTAGAGGGAGGGTTTTATTCCAACATCAGGACTCTTGGGTTTACACTGGTTCTCCTCCTCCTCGTCCTTCTCCTCAGCATCCTCATCATCATCATCATCATCATCATCATCATCATCATCATCGTCATCATCATCATCATCATCATCATCATCATCATCATCATCATCATCATCATCATCATCATCATCATCATCATCATCATCATCATCATCATCATCATCATCATCATCATCATCGTCAACAGCATCATCATCATCATCATCATCATCATCATCATCATCATCATCATCATCATCATCATCATCATCATAATAATCATAATCATAATCAGCAGCATCATCATCATCCTCATCATCCACAGCATCATCATCATCACCAGCAGCATCAGCATCATAATCGACATCACCATCATCAGCAGCATCATCAGCACCATCATCATCATCATCATCATCATCATCATCATCACAATTATCATCACCATCGGCATCGTCAGCATCGTCGTCATCATCATCAGCATCATCATCAGCATCCTGATCAGCATCATCATCCTTACCAGCAGCGGCAGCATCACCATCATCATCATCACCACCATCAGGATCGTCAGCATCATCGTCATCATCATCAGCAGCATCATCAGCATCATCATCTGTATCATCATCAGTATCAGCATGATCGTCATCATCAGCAGCAACAGCATGAGCATCAGCATCAGCATCAGCAGCATCCTCATCATCGTCATCATCATCATCATCATCATCATCATCATCATCATCATCATCATCATCATCATCATTATCAGCATCACTTGCATCAGAATCGTCATCATCAGCAGCATCATCAGCATCATCATCAACAGCATCAGCATCGTCATTTACATCATCACCATCATCATCAACATCATCATCGCCATAGTCATCATAATCATCATCAGCACCAGCATCATCATCACCAGCAGCAGTGTCCTTGTCAGCATCAGCAGCCTCAGCATACTCATCATCATCAGCAGCAGCATGATCATCAGCAGCATCAGAATCATCAGCATCGCCATCGCCATCGCCAGCACCATCAGCATCACCACCACCATCAGCATAATCATCATCAGCAACAACAGTGTCGTCATCGCCCACGTCATCATCGTCATCATCATCATCATCAGCATCATCATCGGCATCATCATCGTCGTCATCGTCATCGCCATCATCAGCATCAGCATCATCACCATCACCATCACCGTGAGCATCATCATAAGCAGCAGCTTCAGCATCGTCATCGGCATCATCGTCGTCGGTGTCGTCAGCAGCAGCAGCATCAGCATCACAATCATCAGCAGCATCACCAGCATCAGCAGCATCATCATCAGCAGCATCATCATGAGCACCAACATCATCAGCAGCATCATCATCATCCTCATCGTCACCATCATCAGCATCATCAACATCATCGACATAATCAGCATCAGAATCGGCATCTGCATCATCATCATCGTCGTCATCATCATCAGCATCAGCATCAGCATCATCAGCATCATCAGCATCATCAGCATCATCATCATCGTCATCAGCAGCATCATCATTATCGTCATCTCCCGTCTTCTCCGCCGGCGCATCCTCCTCCTTATCCTGCATCGGTTGCCCCTCCTCCTCTTCACCCTCCTTCCCATCCCCATCCTCCTCCTCCTCCGCTTCCTCGTCCTCCGCCTTCTCCTCCTCCTCCTCCGCCTCATCCTCCGTTGTTAACCATTCCTTCTCCTGCTACCCCCACTGTCTCCTCATCCTTAAAGTCAGCATCATCCTTCTGTTCCTCCTCCTCTTGCTCCTCGGCATCCTCCTCCTCCTGCCTTCCCTCCTCCTCCTCCTCCTCCTCCTCGTCCTCCTCCTTCTCCACCTCCTCATCCTCCTCATCTTCATCATCGTCATCAGCAGCAGCATAATCATCAGCATCATCATCAGCAGCATCAGCATCAGCATCAGCATCAGCATCAGCATCATCAGCATCATCATCATCATCATCATCATCATCATCATCATCATCATCAGTATCATCATAATCATCCTCATCATCAACATGATCTTCGTCATCATCATCATCGTCACCACCACCACCGTTATCATCAGCATCATCATCATCAGCAGCATCATCATCAGCATCAGCATCGTCGTCGTGTTCATCAGCAGCAGCACCACCACCGACATCATCATCATCGTCAGCAGCATCATCATCAGCAGCAGCATCTCGTCGTAATCATAATCATCACCACCACCACCGCCGTCATCATCAGCATCAGCATCACTATCATCATCAGCATCAGCATCAGCATCAGTATCAGCAGCAGCAACAGCATCAGCCCCATCATCATCATCATCATCAGCATCATCATCATCAGCATCATCATCATCAGCATCATGATCATCATCATCATCATCCTCATCATCATCGTCGTCGTCAGCATCATCATCGTCGTCATCATAATTACTACCATCATCGTCATCATCACCAGCATCGTCACCATCATCACAGTCACCATCATCAGCAGCAGCCTCATCTCAACTAGCATCAGCATCATCAGCAACATCTTCCGCATCAGCATCATCAACATCAGCGTCATCTTCATCTTCATCATCATCGTCATCATCATTCGCATCATAATCATCATCCTACTCCGTCGTCTCATCCTACTCCTCATCCTTCACCACTGCCTCCTCCTCCGCTCCCTTCTCCTCCTCCCTCCTCCCTCCGTCAGTATCCTTCCTCCTCCGCTCCCTCATCCCTCCTCCTCCTCCACCTCCTCCTTCTCCTCCTCCTCGTCCTTCTCCTCCTCGTCCTCCTCCTCCTCCTCCTTCTCCTCCTCCTCCACCTCCTCCTTCTCCTCCTCCTCGTCCTTCTCCTCCTCGTCCTCCTCCTCCTCCTCCCTCCTCCTCTCCTCCTCCTTCTCCTCCTCCTCCTCTTCTCCTCCTCCTCCTCCTCCTCCTCCTCCTCCTCCTCCTCCTCCGCTCCCGCCTCCGTCCATCCCGCTCCCTTCCCCTCCCCCTCGCATCTTCTCTCCGCCACCCCTCCCCCTTTCCCACCCCCATCCCTCCTCCTCTCTCCCGCTCCATGCCCCCATCCCTCCCTCATGCCCTAATCCTCCCGCCCCGTCCCTCGCACGCAGCCACAATCCGACCTGCCGAAGTCGTCAGCTGCTCTTCTCACATGAGGGCACGCTCAGCGCAGCAGCAATGGAGTCCAGAAATGGGATCAGTGCGGACGAGTTGCACTACAGACTCAAGAAGCAGTTGCTGAGGCGATTGGCGCACCATGTCGCGACGCCCCCAGAAGGAATCGCAAGCGCAGCTCGCCAGCTGCGCAAGGCGGCCAGACTCGTCAGCGAGTTGTGCAAGATCGTAGACGTGGACGAAGCCGAACACCGACCCCAGCACATCACGGCCCAGAGTGCCGACCTCTTCAACACGCGTGTAACGAAGGAGCTGGTGCAGGAGGGCACGCATTTTCGGCCTCGACACAAGAGATGGGCAACGTCAGGAAGGGACAATCAGTGACTTGAGCAGCGAGGTCAACGTTGCAACTGACAGCGACCGCGTACCTCGGCAGAACCAGCTACGACAACTTCAGGGCGGGCGAGTAGAACAGGCTGGTCAACTGCTCACAGGTGCAACAAGTGCAGATCTACAACCTCTGCTGGAAGCTAAAGGCATTCACGCATAACTTCGACAGCAGCGAGGCCAAGGATGAGTTCACGCAGATGTTCGAGCTGCAGGACGAGGAGGCAAAGCGGGAGATCGACCAGGACCAGAAGAACTGGCGCGACCAGATCAAGAAGGACATCTTGCAGGATTTTGACTTGTGGCGAGGGGACTTCAAGCAGGAGCTCATGACTGAGGTGCTCAAGATCATCACCAACAACAATGCAGCGACTCTCTCGGAGAAATTCAAACAGGAGCTCAAAGACCAGCACCGGCAGTAGTCCAGCCAGGCTTTCAAGAGCAACCCTTTGCAGGAGGTCCAGAATGATTTCGAACATGCGTGGTTAGGCCAACAAGAGAAGGCCGAGCTGGATATCATGCATATCACTCTCCGCAACCATGAGGACGAGCGGCTAAGCTTGCACGTCATCGATGCGCCACAGGGAGCAGAAATTGAAGACATCACAAAGGATGGGTTGCGCGGAAATTGGAACAATACCGATCCACAGCGGGCTCTGATTCCAAAAATCGTCATCAGGGAAGCAAATGGGGCACACGGCTACCAGGCCAATGCCGAGATTCGGAGGCCAAGTGTGCTGACTCTCGCGATCAACATCCGCAGCAGCACAGGGCACTCTGCCCGAGAGTGCCGCGCGCAAATGCACATGCAGAAAATTCGTGCGTGCGCCCTCGCTGTAGCTCCTTCCCCTCCCCCTCCCCCACCCTCAACGCGCGTGGCGCCAGGCAGGCGCAGATGCATCGGGTAAGGTAGGACTGCCATCAAAGGGACGGCGGGAAGTTGCCCTTAAGACGATACTCGCGGCTAAGAATGCCGGCCCAATGAGCCAACAGGCCACTGGTCCAGCCCGGCGCGGGCAAAGTTCATGGGCGTGCTGCGCCAACGGGCCAACACATGAGGTCATTCAACTACCTTATTCCACTCCCCTCGTCTCTTTTCCTTTGTTCGTTGAGCGTGTCGTAAGCCTGGCTCAGTAAATGAGAGTACGGATGGGAGGGGAACGGGTGATGAGAGCAGCAAGCACGCATCACTCAAGCCAAACATCGTGATGACGGCGGTTACATGCCAGCAACCAGCTGGAGAGAAGAGCAGGACGGCTCCAGCAGAACTAAGCCTGGAAGACCGCATGAGCATAGGATGAAAGCCGTTTTGCCTCCCCCTCCATCCTCCTGCTCCACCTCCTTCTCACTCTGCGTGCACGGCGCGAGGCTGGCGCAGCTGCCTCATGAGGGACGGGGGGGCAGGGAAATCATAATATTTCAGGAAAGTGCAGGTTCACCCTGAGCAATTCACGCAGCTAGAAGCCGCAAGTTTAGCCCCAGGGGGCTTCATGCTGTGGGGGTGCTCGGGGCCGTTCCTTATGGTTATCCCCCTCTGTCTCTCTGTATCCATGCGCGTGATGTTTATTTGGGTGCCCTTGCGCATTATGGTTATCCTCTCCCTTGCGCATTATGTTTACCCTCTCTCTCGGGGTCGGCCGTTTGTTTCCCTTGGGGCCTGGGGGCCTCGGGCCCCGCTCTGGGCGTTGCGATCGTCAGCGCTACTCCTGTTAACACGCGGGCAGTTGGACTCGCGTTAATCGAAGCGCCATCCAACCCCCCCTCCCTTCAAGGCCCAGGTGCCTAGCAGTCCGCACGTACTTGGGCCTGACATGATCGCGCCACACCACCTCCGTGAGATACGCCATTGGCCGAGCACGTGTCGCCCTTGCAGAGCGCACGGTGTGCCGATTCCGGTGAGCCTCACGCGCGCTGGCCCCGCCGGACTCGACGAGACACTTCCGGCGCCGATGCCTCGGCGCCGAGGACTTCGGAGCCGCCCGCCGATGGGGCGTTCCGCAGGGCTGCGCGACGGTTTGGCCACGCGGAGCGCAGGCGAACCCCCGCGGGCGCGCGACGTCGCGCTCCTCGCGAGGGATGCTGCCGCTGAGTGCAAGGCGCCGCAGCAGAGCGCGCAGGCGCCCAGCGCGCTGGGCGGCGTCGCCCAGCTTCAAATGTACCACCTGTGCGACACGTCCAGCGACTGCGCAGAGGTCATCCAGCCAAGCGTCGCGTCGCCACGAAAGCGGTGTGCCCCTCCTCCAGCTTGAACTGCTGCGTCGCGCCCAGCGGCCTGGACGAGCTTCGCCGAAGCCCGACGGCCAGGCCCCCGGAGAGAGGGCGCGCTAGCCAGCGGCCTGGACGCGCTTCCCCTGGTCAAGCCAGCTGCTGCGACCGTTTGCCGCGAGCACGAGTTTGAGCAACCCGTGGGTCAGCTGTGGCTAATCACATCGAGTTTGGATCTTCACAAACAGGAGCCTGATGGTCTCGTGATATTGAGCATCATTGGCGACGCTGCCACCTGCCAATGCGAAGCCGCTCCTCCAGGGGCTGCCTAGTTTGACTTCAGTGCAGGACGCGGCAGTACTCAGGCGAAGTGCAGGCCAAATGCCACATGACAACAAGTTGACGTTTACTTATGTACCTCTACCTTACAGTAACTTCGCGTTCGACCGCAAGGACGCGTCCGATTTGACAGCTTCCAGAGATCTAAGCCGCTTCTGTACAAGAAGAGCTCATAGACGGGCACGAGCGGCCGCCTACGGGCGTATCAGAATTGAGGTGGGACGCCCTTGCCCATGCCCCTCTGCACTGTTGCGTCGGTGCCCAAACCTCAGTACCCATAGAGGGGCACAGTCAGTCGCACGTTCCCTTCGGTGGTCGTCCCCGTCTGGCCCGCTCCGCTCTGCACGGGTTGGCCGGGATGCCATTGTATGAAATCGTCTCACATCCCAAAACACAACTCTCCAACGATTGGCTCATCTACCCGCTCGTTTCCCAGGTCGCCCCCGCCCGGCCGTTTCCTAGCAAGTGAAGTCAGCGTCCGCCTGAACGCAGCAGGCAAAAATATGTTTGAACCAGCGTGCTCCCCTCTCGGCTCCATGCCCAGAGAATCTCCCATCGGGCCTCGTGCCCCCGCACGAGGTGGAGCACATGATGCGAAAGTGGTGCACGACTGTCACGTCGTCACGTCCATGCCGCCGCCCCCACCACTACCCTCCTTCCTTCCCCGTCCCCCCCTTCCCCCCTCGCGCGCAGCCGAGGCGGTTCGCAGTCTCCTCCCTTGTCGCGCCGACTAGCGCCTCAGCCTGACCCGCACGACGGCCACGAGAGCGAGTGCCTTCCGCCCATCGAGAGGCCTGGAGAGGCGGGCACGTCTGACCCGCAGCTCTGGGTAAAGAAAACAACGCGCGATCGGCAATTCAAGCCTCGCGGGTGCGGGTTGAGGGGACACCCCACCACCACCATCCTTTCCTCACCCCATCCCCCCCCTCTCAACCCCTCCCTCCCTCCCGAGCCCCCCTCTGCCCCGCGGCCGATCGCCCACAACGCACACCAGCAGATGCCCGCCGCCCTCGAGCACGCCCTTCGGCGGCGCGGGCGATGCGACCAGGGCGGCCTTCACCTTCGACGGCCGCCGTCGTCGTGGTGCGTCGTCGTCGGCCGTCGTCATCGCCGCCGCCGCCACCATCGCCTGCTGTCGTCACCGAGGAAAAAGGAAGCGGAGGAGGAGAAGGAGGCCGGCGCCGATGATGAGAAGGGCGGAACTGTTGGTTGGAGAGAAGCTTCCACGACTCACGCGAACTCATACCTCGCATTATCAAAATATCCTGTGTAACGTACAAGTAAAGAGCAATTGCAAACATATGCGGTTAGCCTAGATTCCAACCATCTGCGCGGCAACAAATTCACTCGGATCACGCAGTATCGAGACCAACATGTGTATTGTGCATACGAAGCCGACGACGGGTGTAGCCACCGAACCTGGCTTTAGCCTGATTAGCGCGCGCACCTACTGCCACATGCAATTGGAAAGGCATGACCCAGTATACGCAGTCTGAAATCCGGATATCCCTGCTTCAGGTCACACTCGTGCTCCTCATCATCCTACCCACCAAGATGAACAGCGATGCCCTGCGATGCAATACGAAAAACTGACCATCGAATTCCGCCACGCACATCTGCAAAGCATAATGATTATGAGTGCGCAAGCTGGCAGCCCAGGAGTCGACCACCCTCCTCTTAGCAGGATGGAAACTGCAGGAACGTGTTACTCAAAGTGCTTGACCCGTAAAAGGACGCCGCCCTGGATGCGGAGGAACATTCTCTGACGCGACCTTCACTTAAACCTTGGAGGGTCGCTTCCCTGGATGCCTCGCACCACCCGAAGCCGACCGCCCCGATCCGCCTCATCCTATTCTTGCCCCCCCCCCCACACACACACACACACCACCACCACCATATCACTTCTGGCACAACGACGGCGATGTCCTTCAATGCGGGCATGTGAAGAAGGGACTTGGGACGGAAGGGTGTGTTGCAGCATCGTTGATGCATCCTGGTCTTCCTCTGGCCCTCCTCCTCGCCGATCCCTGGGAAGGGACCCCCAAGCCCCGCTCCTCCCAGTCGCCAGGCGCCTTCCTGTGGGCCTCGTCCAGCCGCCTGGCCTCCTCGAGCGGGTCCGAGGACGACCTGGCTGCCCCGTCGCCCGCGGAGCGGCGACGACGGCCACGAGGACAACGGCGGCGGAGACGGCGGCCGCGACGACGACGACTGCGGCAGCGACAGCGGCGGCGACAGCGACAGCGGCGGCAGGCGGCGGCGAAGGACGACCTGATCCCGTCGCCCGAGGCCGGCATGTCGAGCGATGCCCGCGGGCGGCCCGATGGCGACGTCGGCGACCCCGGCGCGCCCCCAGCGCCGTCCTCCCGTTCCGCCGCCTGCTCGGCCGACCAATACTTGTCTACGACCTGTGGCGACGCACACGAGGGGGTTGGCGCCTCCTCCTCCTCCTCCTCCTCCTCCTCCTCCGCCTCCTCCTCCCCTCCTCCTCCTCCATCCCTTTTCCTTGTGAATACCTTCTACCTGTCGCACTCCGAGGCCAGTTGTTAGGGCAGGCCTGGCGTTTCGCCTGAGACTTCCTCACCATGTATGACCCTGAAGCTCAAAAACTGACAACAGCTTCACAGATGAAGGGCGGGTCGTTTTCAAAATGTGGCTCTCGCCTCAGCGCCGCGCACGTTCGCTTTAAACAAGTGCAATCGGTTCACGGGTTGAGGGCGGGCCGTTTTCAAAATGATGCCCTCGCCTTAGCGCCCAGCACATTCGTTTTAGAAATTCGCGAGAGCTTCCCGGATCTAGGGCAGCTCCTTTTCAAAATGTGGCTCTCGCCTTAGCGCCGCGCACTTTCGGTGTTTTTTTTTAATTGCAAGAGTTTCACGGAATGGGGGCGGACCGTTTTCAAAATGTGGCTCTCGTCTCGCCATAGCGCCGAGCACATTCGTTCTACCAAGAGTTTCACGGGCTCCCAAAATCAACGCAGCAGAAGTGGCGTTTGGGAAAGATTCTGGATTATGAGGGTGCAAAAACTACGTTGGCTCGCGGTGTTGAAGTCCCAGGAATGGCTTTCTGGCACGACTCAGGATCGTCAAGACGCAACAGTCAGGTTGATCCGTGGCCTTGGAGCCCCCAGGAGAATGTTTTGGCATGCTTCAGGGTCTTCAAACGATTGCCTTCCAACGAGGCGGTTCCCTCAGTGGAAATGAACCGTTGTAGGGGCCTATGAAGAGGGAGTTTGGAGGGAGGGTTTATTCCAACATCGATGATGACTCTTGGTTCAATTTCACAAGTCCTCCTCCTCCTCCTCCTCCTCCTCCTCCTCCTCCTCCTCCTCCTCCTCTTCCTCCTCCTCCTCCCCGTATCTGTGTTTTTCCTCATCCTACTCTCTCCTCCTTCCTTCCTGCCTTTATTCCTTCCGTCCTTTCATCTCCTCCTCCTCCTCCCCATCGGCGTGAGCTCGCCGCCGAGACCTCGTCGGGGATCGTGACGCCCGCGACGACGTCTGGGCCCGCGCCGCTGGCCAGCATCCTGTTCCGGATGTCGCGGACGGCGGCCTCGTAGCTGTCGACGGCGAACTGCTGAACCTGCAGCAGGCACATACGCGAAGAAATCGAGAGAAATACATTCGTCGACCATGAGCTTCGCAGGACGGCCCAGGTCTCTGCGGCCCCGGCGGGAGACAAGAATTCACCGCGGGGCACCTAACTGACGGGTCAACTTCTGATTTGGTGTGCCCACCCTACGCGCGGGGATCGGACTGGCAGGCCTGAGCTGCATCGAATCGCGAAACTGCATCGGATCGGGTCGGAGGCGCATCGGATCGCCCGCGGATCGCCCCCGAGCTGGAACAG